TGAGCTGCCCCTGCCTGAAGTATTTTCTGGCTGATGTTTTCTGATTTGGGGATTCCCAGAGCAGAGCAGGGCCCTTCCTGGTACTTGGTCTGATGAATCTCCACCCATCATGGAAGCTCTGGAACAAGTACTCACTGCTCTGCCTCCTGACCCTGGGACCTGGGAGGAAATGAGGAGCCCAGAGGACAGATCTGCTGAGGGTACTGGCCCCTCCTTGCTGAGCTGGGACCACCTCTGCACCCCTGGTCCAACCAGTCAGTGCCCCTGACCTGGAGCTGCTCCGGGGCTGGGCTACCCCATCTGTGGCCTGTGAGGCACCAGGTGCCACAGGAGTGTGCCACAGGAGTGTGCCACAGGAGTTGTGCCACAGGAGTGTGCCACAGGAGTTGTGCCACAGGAGTGTGCCACAGGAGTTGTGCCACAGGAGTTGTGCCACAGGAGTGTGCCACAGGAGTGTGCCACAGGAGTTGTGCCACAGGAGTGTGCCACAGGAGTGTGCCACAGGAGTGTGCCAACCCCCTCACCATCAATGGAGCCTCAGCCACTGTCTCCCTTCTACTGCCTGCCCGAGGAAGGACCACAGAAGAACTGGTGTCAAGCAATTAGGGCACGGCTAAGCAGGTCTAAAGTGCCAAGAAGGGAAGTGAGTCACTCACCTGGGAGCCAGCACATCGCCCTCTTTCCTGTCAGAGCCTCCTCCCAGGCAGGAGCACACACACAGCTCGGCCCTGCTGGTCTCTCCACTTGCAGCATGGACCTGGTGGGCTGGGGTCTGTGACTGAGCTGGAGCAAGTGCTCTGTTATCCCAAGGTAAGACACTCCTTTCCCTTCTGCTTGCTCTCCCAGGCTCCCTCCCTAAGCTCCACAAGCTCCTTCTGTGTCTGGGTAACTCAGGACATGGGCTGGCTCAACATCCCCCACGGATCTCTGGGCCGTGGCATCTCAGACAGCACCAAGGGCTTCTGAGGCATCTTCACCACCCCGGCATGGGTGTGGGAAGCCACTCCTTGTTCTGCATGCCCAGCAAGCAGGGATGGGGTGATGAGGTGCATCGTGTGACAGCCCGAGTCAGGCAGGTGCTGCTGCCGCCTTTGGGGCTGTGGGGAGGGGGCTGCTCTCAGCCAGGTCCCATTCCACCCCTGAGTGACCAGCCCTGGATTTGTTGGAATGCTGTGAAGCAAGGTGAGCAGCCCTGCCTGGGCCTTACTCCTGCGAGGAAGAGGAGGCAGTGCTTGGAGCCTCTCGGGGAGGGCAGGTCCCTCATCCCGCTTGTGCACAGCCCCTGCCCAGGCTGGGCAGGCAGATGGGGCAGAAGCCAGCAGCTGTGGCAGGAGGTGTCTCACTGCAGTTGGGAGCAGCAGAGCTGTGACAGCCTGGGGCTGTAGCACACAAATCCTGACACAGTGGCCCGTGAACTCACCCCTCTGCCCCGTAACCAAAAACAGCTGGAGGCTGCTCTGCTCGCTGCCTCACCCACTGCTGGGGAGGCTGTCCAGCTACAGCAGTGACATTCTCTGCCAGTCTGGGCGATCCCTGTGGCACAGCCAGCAGCCGAAGCCATGCCCTGCCTTAGCTGTCAGAGGGGACCCAGGGAGTGCCACTGCCTCAGGAGTGGCTTCTGGCAGATGGGTTGGTGTGTTTTCCTGCTGAGCAAGCCCAGCTCCGGGGCACATTCCTGCAGGGTTGGTAACGAGGTGGGGACAGGCTGTGCTCAGCCTGCAACAAGCATTAGAAAATTTAGCAGTGTTACATGAGTAGTAATGTTACATGAGCGGTGGGAACTCACAGACAGTAACACTCAGCACCAGCTGAGCATGTGCTGCAGCTCCAAAGGAATTTCATGCTTTTTCAAAGATCCATCCTGGTACTCAAGAATGTGTCCTGGGGACTGGAACCAGCAGGGATCAAGCTCACCTGTGTGCCCGTGGCTGGTGCTGTCACAAGCTGCATGTTGGTATTTCATCTTGTCCTTGTTTGCTGCTTGTGTTGCTGACAGGCAGTCAGAGACCCATCAGCTGAAATGTTGCTCCTCCATTTACACTCCCTGGAGAGCTCTTCTCTGCCTACGCAGTGTAGCTTGCTCTTGGGAAGAAATCTCTGGATATTTGCTTATAAAAGCAAGAGTCTCTGACCCCTCCAAAATTTACACGTGGTTATCCAAAGTGAGTCTGTTGCTACCAGGCTACATCTAATAAGGAAACGACCTCAAGGGCATATGCCAGAGGCAGGTGGGGCTTACAGGAGGCACTGGGCATCTGCCATGGCAGCATTTGCTGCCACAAGAATGCTGCTGAGTGCCAGACCCATGGGAAACAGCCACTGCCCACCAGTCAGCCTGGGTGGGGTTATCCCCAGAGAGTGGAATTTGGAACAGCTGCTCTGGGATCCAGCATGTACAACAACCTGAAGGACTATCAGTGCTTCTTAACAGCTCTGTGGGAATCAGAGTAAGAGAAGTTTATTTTTTTTTATTAGGTTGCAAGTTGGCTTGATGAAAATAAAGGCTATTTCAAGATTTTTTTTTTTCTCAACTCAGCCTTGCATAGCTGTCAGAGCTGTTAGCTGGTGTGTGCATTCTCTGGGCAGGAAGAGCAGGAAATAGTGTCAAGCACAGGGCAGCCAGACTGCCAGGAGTGCTGAACGAGCCCAGCCTCCACTGGCAAAATGCATCTTAATGTTGGAGTGCTCAGCAATTGGCAGCAGGGCCAGGAGAGCAGGGAAAGAGGGTCCCAGGTGGGAAGGGAGTAAAAGGGAGGAGCTGGCTGTGGGCACTGTATGGGGGCAAAGGGACCTGCTGATTCAGAATGGCCGTGCTGCAGGGCAGAGTAGAGGAAGGATGAAGACTTCAGGAGGTTCCTCCCCAGCCCAAAACCCCCTGGGCTTTCATTTCCTCTAAGGGCTGGGTTGTGGCAGGACAGTGAACCAAGATTTGTCAAGTATTGCTACATCCCCTACGAGCACCCCCCCTTGCCCCTGACATTGCTGGCTGCTCTTCCCAGAGACTTGGGCTGGCTGTCAGCCAACCTATGTAGCAGGATCCTATTTGGTTTTAAGTTTAAACCCCCAGGAGCAGCTTAAAGAGAAGAGCTGGGGCTCTGTCTCATCCATGAAGGGTCAGGTTCCTTCATCCTTACAGCAGCTGATGGGAAGGGGAAAGGAGGGAGGATGTCTGGTGGCAGAGGGAAGGAGATGGCTGCAGCTTCCATGCCGGCACAGCTCTGGGGCATCACTGCAGGATCCTCATGTGGCCTGACAGAGCTTGGCTGTCCCTTGCTCCACATGCCAGCCCCCGGTGCAGCCCACCCTGTCCAGGCTTCCATCCCATGTGGTGCAGTTGCTGTGGGGCTCCCTCACGTTGCAGGGGTTCCACTCTGCTCAAGGAGCTTCCAAATACCTTGGTCATCTGTGCTGTTGTACCAGTTGTGGTGTCCATGGACTTCTGGTTGTCTTGGAGCTCTCCCTGAGAGGGGTTCAGAGCAGCAGGACATGGATTTGTCCTGCAGTTTGCAGAGCACTTGCACATCTGCAGCCTGGCTGGAGCTCACCCAGGGATCCTGGGGGCTGCCTGGCACCTGGATGCACACCTTCAGAGCACTGTGCTGAAGTGCATGGCAGCTGTTTCCCTCTGTAGTGGCCCTGGGAAAGGCCACCTGCACCCTCTGGAGAAGAGCCAGGGAAGAGCCAATCCAGGCAAAGAAGCCCAGATTGGTGCTGGGGCTTTGCCTGCCCCTGGCTGGGGACATCCAGGCACTGGCACAGACAGTGGGTGGATTCTGGAATGGAGATGGCTGCCCAAAACCTTGGGGTTCCTGAGGCCAGGTGAGCCAAAAGCCAGCACTTTAACAGAGCAGCACTGCTGCTGTCCACCTCAGCCTCTGTCAGTACCCTTCTCCCAATGGAAATTGCCATATTCCAGCTCAGAGCTCAGGGCTCACCAGCCCAACAACAAAAGTGTGGCTCGACAGTGTCCCAGTGTCTGTGCCAGCTGCTTGCTCTTGGAGAAGTTTGGCTGGTGTCCTCAGTGGTGAGGCCCAGGACACACAACCCTCAGCCTGTCCCTGTGGCTCCCAGGACATGAAGCCATGCCATGGGGGTCTCTGGTGCCCCAACAGCATGGACATGGCCAGGACCTTCTATGGAATGTTTGCCACAGGGGACATTTCCTGAGAAGAGCCAGAAGAGCTTTTCCCAGCCCTTCCCGAGGAACTCCAGTGCAGACTGGGCTCTGCTGCTGCTGCTTGGGCCCTGCCACTGCTCAGCAGCCTTGTGGCAGGCTGGACACCCCTCTGTCCTGGTGATGGACTCTGTGGCTCTGTTCCAGTGTGTTTCACAGTGACCCCAAGCACCAGACTCAGGGCTCTGGTTCCTGTAGGTGTCTCAGGTGAGAGGTTTTTGCTCTAAGCTCACATCTGTGCTGTGTGCAGATGTAAGAGCAGAGGCAAGCATGGAGGGCAGGTTAATCGTGGCCATGGGAGCTACAGCCTGGGATTTACAGCTTGGCTGGGACATGTGTGCAGCTTTGCTCATCACTGGTGTCTCTGAGCACCCCACCATCAGCATCACCATGCTCAGTGAGCACCCCACCATCAGCATCACCATGCTGAGTGATCTTCAGGCTGCCACAGGTAACAGTGGCCATAATGTGGTGGTGTATGGGACAGGTAACAACCTGCCCTGTTGTGGTGTCTCTGTCTGTTGAATATCCCTGAGATAAAGGGAGGCTTGGGATGGTGGAATTCCTGAATTAGTTCCAACATAATTGTGAAGGAGAGTGCTAGGAAATGATCTGTCCATATATGAGTTTCCTATCCCTTTCTTGGAAATTATTAAGTGGAGGCTCTTCTGCCACTTATCTGTTTGGGAGAAAGATGCTCAAAAAGTTTGTCTATTCCCAAATCTAACTGGGGACACAGAATTGATTCCTATTCTGCCTTTAGAGGAAAATCCCAATGTTGCCCTCTTTCATGATCATCAGAAGCAGAGATACTCTGAGGAAAAAGCCTTAAGGACTTTGCTGTGGCTAATTGTCTTTCCTCTACTGCTTATTTTATTCTCATTTCCTTTAGCTGATGTCACACATTTCCCCTCCTCTAGTGACTCTGCAGTCATGTTACAGTTGCTCCCATTCTGGTGCCCTGTTCTTAAGAGCTGCCAGTGCGGAGACTGTCCAGCCCCAGGGCAGGGAAAATAACATCTGGGAGCCAACCAAGCATCCTCAGTGAACCCCTCTCTGCTATTGAGGCTGAAGATGGACATTTTGTGCTGATTTTTTTCAACTCTGGTAAGCAGAAAATATACTTTATTAGTACTATTCCTCTTGGAATATACTCTTGCTGATGGCAGAGCTTGCTTGCATCTATAAGCCAGTAAATCCTGACTGGGAGGGCAGAGTCCCTGGCACAGTCTATAGACTGGGAGCAGGATGGGCAGGTGCTTACTTCCACCTTCAGCCCTGCATCCAGTGCAGCTGATGGTACAAACCACCTGGGCTTACTGCCTGGGGGACTGTGGACAAGGCACTGGCTTGGCCTGGAGGTCTCAGGGGGTTTGGCCAGGCAGCACAGGCTGCTGCTGCAGCAGAGAACAGGACCCACAGCCCCCTGCTCACCCTTCTGCTGGCACAGGCAGCACCAACGGGCTTCAGAGAAAGGGGAACTGCCTCAGCAGGACAGGCTGAGGAGAGCCCTCACAGAGTGCCCCAGGGCTCAGGGCAGTCACAAATGTACAGAGACATCAGCCTGGGTTCCTCAGGCTGAAGAGGGAATTGGGCTTTGGGTAAATTCCGTGAGGAATGGTGCTATGTTCTAGCTGTGCTCTGTAGAACATCTCACTTGGCTCATGGGAAGGAAAGGACACCTCTCCTGTGATTCCCTGCAGGACCCTGGCACAGCACAGCCTCTAATCAAAGATTAGGTGAGCTCTACCAGGTGGTGCTGGGGCCAGGAGATGGCACTGCCATCTCCCACAGACCAGCTTTGCCAGAGTTCAGCAGACTGGAAGCAGTCACAGAGCATGTTCTCACACTCACCCCTCCATTTCAGAGCACAGCCCTGTGGCTCAAGCTTCTGTGCAGGAATCTGCCATGGAGGGGACATGCATATTCACTCTCCCTTCCACCCCATCTGCTAAATCTGGCAGCTGGTGTGCAGTCTGCAGCCACTAAAGTTCTCCAGAACTCCTGGGCAAAGTTTGGTGGCCACCATGCCATTGTGCAGAACCAGAAATGGAGGTGTGGGTGGAGAGTGCCCTGGGGCACCATCTAAAGGGACTTTGTGATCAGCAGCTGTGCCCATGTATTGGATATAAGCACTTCTCCTCATGAATCCTGCTAGAGAGATGCATTACCTGTTTTTTTTTCTCCTCACTCTTGGTATACTCAGGTCTGGTGCCACAGGAATAGACCACTTTTCATTGCAAAGATCTCAGCCCTAAGCACCAGAACTATCTGCTGGTGTTGCAGATAGTCACAGCAGTGACTATTTGCAGATAGTCACAGCAGTGTGAATTTATGGCACATATTTGGAAAAAAAAAAAGGGAAAAAAAGGAGTTCTCTAATGATTTTAGGTAGTTAGGACTTCTTGAATTTTTATTCTTTACTGTAATGTCAGACTAGTGTAACAAACATTACACTCCCTGTGATGAAGCCCACCTGAATAATCTACTGCTCTTTGGAGATCAGGGGCTCTCAGAAGTGTGGCAGAGATCAAGGAGAATGAGGAGAATGAGGAGAATGAGGAGAATGAGGAGAAACACACGTGTCACCTGGAGCCAGCTCCCAGTACTGCGTGTCCATTCCACTTGGACTGTGCCTGGAAGACTGAGCTTAAAGACACTTGGAAATTGGCACTGCCCAACATGCAGCTGCCTGGGAAGGTCCAAATCCTGTAATTGTTGTGTCCTTAAGAGACCTGGGAGGGGTAAGGAAGGACAGGACCCTCAAGAGGATGAGTGCTGCCTTCCTCTCCTAACGACTGGAGAGCAGTAGCGAGGGTTGCAATTCTGGGGAAACTGGGGAAAGCAAGCTCCAGCTCCAGCTGACTTCCCCATTTGCAGAGGAAAATTGCAAACAAGCGAATGTGTAAATGAGGAACAACAGCACAAGGGCACCCGGGGGGGACCCAGCCCACAGAGGATGGGATGGGGGTTCCTGGCACTGCCTGCTGCTGGGGAGGATCCAGAAGGTTTTGAGGCAGGAGGGCATCTGCTCACGAGCAGCAAGTGAGGAAAGTGATCCTGCCTCTCTACTCAGCCCAGGTGAGGCCACATCTGGAGTGCAGTAGCCACTTCTGGGCTCCTCAATCTATAATTAAACCCCTCAATGAAGCTGTGGAGCTTCTGGAGTGGGTCCAGTAGAGGCTGCAGAGATAATTAAGGGACTGGAGCATCTCTCTGGTGAGGAAAGGCTGAGGGAGCTGGGGCTGTTCAGCCTTGAGAGAGATGTCTGAGAGGGGACCTCATCCCTGTCTGTCTGTGTCTGCAGGGAGGGGTCAGGGGGACAGGGCCAGACTCTTTTCAGTGGTGGCCAGCAGCTGGACGTGGACACAAGGCATAAACTGAAACAGAGGAAGTCCCAACTGAATATGAGAAAAACTTCTTAGTTGTGAGTGTGACAGAGCCCTGGAACAAGCTGCCCAGAGAGGCTGTGGAGTCTCCTTCCCTGGAGTTATTCAAACCCTGCCTGGATGCCCTCCTGCACAACCTGCTCAGGGGCTGGGCCAGGTGATCTCCCAAGGTCTTTTCCAATCCCAACTCTCCTGGGATCCTGCGAGAAGTTTTTACCACATATTGTTTCACATCCGGAATTCTTTAAGTGTAAAGAAGTTAAAAATATCAGGAACCGTGGTGGGAGATAGGGGCATGGGGGAGGTGGCAGGGGAAAAAGGAGAACCACATGCAAGGAGAAGATTAGTCATAGAAAACACTCCTGATTCTAGTAAAAGATAAGGAAGCTTGAGATAGGGCAGTGTAACAGATTACTTTTATCTAAGAACTTTCATGCAGGAAAGTATTTTAAGATTAGAGATGAGTGATCTGAGACCTCATGGCAGCAAACAATGCTGGATGAAGACACACAGGTTTGTGTGCTGTGAAAATGGGATCAAAGACAGGACCAAGGAGACTGGGCAGGTGTCTGGCTGGAACCAAGGCATCAGCAGAACTCCTATGGTCATAGACAAATGATAAAGAAAGGTGAAGTTTGGCTTAGCAATGGTGCCAAACCAACCAGCTTGATTTCTGCTGTCTATTTTTAGGTGAGAAGAAAAGCTGTGGCAGGAAACTGAGCTTCAGACGTAGCCACTCAACACCATGATGTCTGGAAAAGGCAAAGGAGGTGCAGAAGGCAGTGCTGATTTGTCCATTCCATGCCACATAGACTCTGAGTTTCGCTACAGCCTTTTCACTGTTTTCTACAGCATTATCTTCATTCTAGGCTTTGTTGCCAACTGCTATGTTCTCTGGATTTTCACCCGTATTTACCCCACCAAGAAACTCAATGAAATCAAGATATTCATGGTGAACCTGACAGTAGCTGACTTGCTCTTCTTAATTACGATGCCAATGTGGATTGTTTACTACCACCACCATGGAGACTGGATCATGCCTGACTTCCTCTGTAACGTGGCTGGCTGTTTATTTTTTGTTAATACCTACACTTCTGTTGCCTTTCTGATGGTCATCACATACAACCGTTACCAAGCTGTGACTAATCCTATTAAAGCTGCTCAGCTGACCACCCAGAGAAGAGGTATCTACCTATCAGCAGCTATCTGGATCATAATAGTGGGCAGCTCTTTGTATTACCTTTTTGACAATAATACGAATCAGGAGGTGGTCGACTCCAGGAATTTCACGCGGTGCTTTGAGCGCTATGACGCCACGAGTGGTGTTTCAGCTGTTCTCGCCATTCATGTCATCATCTGCATCCTCTTCTATATCATTTTCCTTTTAATACTAGGTTGGAACATTGTCATTATCAGGACCCTGTTTTCCAAGTCAGTGCATCCAAAGAAAAGCGCTCATGTCAAGCAAAGGGCCCTCTGGATGGTGTGCACAGTGCTGTCTGTGTTCATCATAAGCTTTGTGCCCCATCACATCGTGCACCTGCCCTGGACTCTGACGGTTCTGGAGCAGTGGAAGAAGGAAAACTGTCAGCTGCGCCAACAGCTCAACGATGCTCACCAGGTGACTTTGTGCCTCTTGAGTACCAACTGTGTGTTGGACCCGATCATCTACTGCTTCCTCACCAAGAAGTTTCAGAAGCACGTTTCAGAAAGCCTGAGAAGCATGAAAGGGAGTCGCAAATGCTCCAGGCAAACAACTGATACGATGATTGAGAGCACCCTTCACCAAGAGGATGCCATTAGGATCGGTTAGGGCCACTCAGTGTTTTCTGGTTGCACATGGAAAGGTGTGAATTATTCACTCACCTTTTCTCAAGAAGAGGCACCAGGACACAACAGAGGACCAGGATTTTACATTTTCTTTTTCCGATTAGACAGAAGAATGGACGCTCATTTCTTCTGTCACATGCAACGGGCAGAACTGGAACCTGCAGTAATCTGGCAGCAAAGCTCCTTCTGTCCAGGCTGGTGTTCTCATGGGCACTGAGAACAGCTCAGATGACTGCTTTAACATGAAAGCAGTGTGTCACTGAGCCTCTGCAGTGAGCAGCTAGAAGCTGAGTGTGCCAAAGTTATCCATTGTGTCAGTCCAGATAGCACCATCCCTGCTCCTCTGCCTGCCCAGCTCTTGCAGTGGATCCAGTATCAGAGCTGTAAGGGACTTCTAAAAGACCTGGAAGAACAGATTGAGCTCTGAGTATCATTGGGTGGCTCTTCTAAGCAGCTTACATGGTCTGGTGAAGAGAGTCTGAGCTAATAAAGCTCTTGAGCAGCTGTAAGGGACATAGCCCATGGAATTCCTCAGCTGCTGTCAAAGAGATCTGCACCTCAGATCCCTTCATTCCTTCTTAGTGTCTCACGTGGTCTGCTGGGATCCAAACTTGACAGATATCTGGGAATAGCTATTATGAATCTTTGCTTCCAGATCTTGGGTCAGTAAAGTAAGGAAGGAAAGGAAGAGAAATTTGCAGTCCCTCAGCACACTCTCCCACTCCCTCCACCAGATCAGCATTATTGCCAAAGGGCACTATGGTCTGCCCTGGCTTCCTGTGTGAAAGCAGAACTGGCCAGCCAGCAGCTTCAGGCACTCAGTTTAGTAATTTCTGACTGATTGCATGTGTCTGCAGACACCCAGTCTTGCTCAGGAGGCTCCAGATAACAGTGTCAGCATGGGCATTATGATAAGGAAAAAAAGCTTAAAATGCTTCTGTATCATTGTACTTATTTATTTAATTTAGAATTATAGCCAGTACATTATTTTTTTCCTCCATCCTTTCAAAGCTGACCAGTTCTTGATCTACAGCAAGTGAAGTGTTAGGTCAGGACACTTGACAGACACATAATTCACACACTCCAACAGCACAGGAGGCCCCTTGCCCAGGGCCAGATGCAATCCACTGGGGCCCAGGGCAAAGCGGTTTTCCATGGGTGCTGAGTTGTTACCAGTCATGAGACACTTGGGGTTCCTTTTCTGACCCAAATTGCTCAATCTAGCACAGGAAATTGGGCAGGGAAGGGAACTTACTTGTTTTCACAACAGTTGTTGGTTCCCTGTCTGTTGATGACAGGAACAGTATAACTGACCTGTGACACCAATTATTCATGTCCAGGACAGCAGCCCTCCCACACCTGCCCAAGAACAGGAGAAATAAGCTCAAACCTTTCCAAAGACAGGACCAATACTTGTACTGCTTTGCCTGTATCCAGCAGAGATATGGGTCCTTCAGATGTATCCTCTGGAGCTCCTCAGGCAGCTTTTGTCTTTATTTGTTCCCGTAAGGAAAAGAACTAAGATGTTTATTTTTCTAAGGCCATTGCCAGGGCCAGCCCTGCACTTCAGGCCCAGTGCCAGAGGAAAGAGTCTGATCACAGTAAGAGTGCATCTCCTCCTAGCCCTGGGCTCTGCTCCAGTAATGGAGCAGTACTTGCCAGTACCTCATCCTCCTCAGACACGTTCAAAGCTGCACCCTGAATCTGCAGAGCCACAGCACACAGGAAGGGAGCAATTTCTGTAATTTAAAAACCAGAATCTGCCTCTGTTTCTGCACTGTTCTGTGGGCACATTCTGGATGAAGAACTCTCGCAGCTGGCAAAGGGGGGGGACCTGCTTTTCCCCCTTGGCTCCCAGCAATAGTGGAGCTCTCATTTCACAGACCCTAAAGCCCTGAGAGATGGAGTTTGGCAACTCTTGGAGGAAATGGAAAAGACTTTTACATGGAAAGCTGGCATGATCTTCCACTGATTCTTGGAAAGCTTGCAAGAGTTTACAGTTTAGCTCTTTACCATGGGTATGTAACAGGCTTCATTCCACAACAAGCACTGTGGGCTCAGGGAACAAACACAAACTTGCATCTGAGGAAAAGGATAAGCAGAGAGAAAAGCCCCAAGGCCACTTCAGGAGATGTTATGCTAATTAGTCAGTAAAAATGCATTTCTAATAAACAGGCTGAGCTGCTACTTCTGTTCCTGGAAATACTTTCTTGTTCTTACTGCAATGTTGCATTACCCTGCTTTACCTTGCAATGAAATGGATCCTGAAAAGTTATTTTAAATAAAGTGCGTTCCCCATGTGTTTTCCCCTTTAACTTTTCCCACCTTCTCATCTTTCTGTATTTTTACTTGAGGGAAAGCCTTGGTACCACACAGAAATAGCCTCAATGCATTTTTTTTTTTTTAACTATTATATGAACTCTTGGGGGAGGAGGGGTGAACTTAAAGGCTCAGCAAGCTTCTACCTGCTAAAAGGGAAGGGGAAAAATCTGCTGGAGCTCTCCAAAACTCAACCAGATAAACCCTGCTGAACTCTCTGGCCTGCATATGGGAAATTTATATGGACCAATTGTGTGGCTGCGATGTGACAAACCATTTTAATGCATTGGGTCTGCAGGGCCAGGCTGTGCTAGTGGAGGAGGGGGGAGTGTGGAGGACTGCAGGGGTGGTTTCCGTGGCAAGCTGTCAGAAGCTTTCCCCGTGCCCAATGAAGCCAAAACCATTCGGCTCCAGGGCAGACCAGAGCCCATCAGTGATGGCGGCAGCACCTTTGGGATAACATAATAAAAAAACAGTTATTGCAAAGGAGCAATGCACAGACAAAGAGAATGGAGAATATGTGAGAAACAGCCCTGCAGAGCCTAGCGTTGGTGGAGGAGGAGGGCAGGACCTGCTCCGGGCGCTGGGGCCGAGATTCCTCTGCAGCCCATGGTGGGCAGGGGTGCAGAGATGCCGCTGCAGCCCCAGGCCGGAGCAGGGCGATGCCCGAGCAGCGCGGGCAGCCCGTGCTGGGGCAGGGTCCGGGCAGGACCTGCGGAGCCGGGCAGGGAGGAGGTTTGCTGGCAGGACTTGTGACCCCATGGGGGACCCGAACTGGAGCTGCCTGTTCCTGGAAGACTGACGCCGTGGGAAATACCCCACGCTGGAGCGGGGAAAATTCTGAGCAGTCCGTCCCTTGAGGGAGGGAGAGAGCGTGTGATGCCCTGTTCCTCAATGCTGGGGGAGGAGGAGAGAATCGCGAACACAGGCGAGTCCGACAAGCCCGGAGCGGTGGCGGATTAAGATGTGGGTTCATTTCTCGTTACCCTACTCTGATTTCTCTCAAAATAAATTAAACGGATTCCTCCAGCCGGTCCTCCAGCCGGGCCGTGTCTGTCGTAGGGGTGCTGGGTGAGAGATTTCTCCTGCCCTGCTCTCGCCCCGCCAGCCTTTCGTTCTGTCTGCTCTCCCCCGCCCGGCTTAGGGCGGTGATGGAGCGGCTTTGGTGCACCCGGCCGGGCCCTCCTCTATTTAAATACCCTCGGGACAGTGAGTGAGCGCGACCCCGGGACCGCATAGCGCAGAGACCCGCGGCAGCGGCGGCCGGCACGGGCAGCGGCGGCCGGCACGGGCAGCGGCGGCCGGCACGGGCAGCGGCGGCCGGCACGGGCAGCGGCACGGGCAGCGGCACGGGCAGCGGCACGGGCAGCGGCACGGCCGGCACGGACAGCAGCACGGGCAGCAGCACGGCCGGCACGGGCAGCAGTACGGGCAGCGGCCCCGGCCGAGCCCTCAGCGCCGCGGCCCCGCCCGGCCGGGCGGGCGCTGACGCCACTGCCGGCGCCGCGCTCTGTTCCGGCGGCGGGCGGGGAGCGCGGGCGCCGCTGCCATGTCCGCTGCGGGCCCCGGGCCCGGCTCCGGAGCCGCCTCTCGGTAAGAATCTGCTCGGGCCCTGCGCAGCCCCGCAGCCCCCGGTGCTGCTCACAGGCTCGGGCTGTCCCCGGCGGGCCGGGGCTGCGAGGCCGCGGGCGGCGAGGCCGACGCGTGTGCTCGGCGTGTGCTGCTGCCGCTGCCTCCGCCGCAGCGCGGGCCCGAGGGGCCGCGGCACCACCGGACCCCGTCCGGCCTCCGCCGAGCCCGGCGGGGCGTGCCCGGCTCTCGCGGCTTCTTCGGTGCGCGGAAGAACCGGGAGAAAGGCAGGAGGGGCAGGGGGCACTGCCCGGCTCCCGGGGCTCGCCCGGGCACTGAGGAGCGGCCAGAGGGATGCAGAGCCGGCCCCGCCGCCTGCCCCAGGCTCGGGAGGGACCGCGGCTCCCGGCACCGGGCGCAGGCTGTGCGGGTTCCCCAGGGTTCAGCACGGCTGCATCGCTCTTGGGTGGGTTTAGCTGCCTGTGGTGCAGCTTGTGCGCTCTAAAAGGATGTTTGGGCTGGATTTGGGCCTCACAAGCGAGGTTGGATCCAGATGGGCTCTGCTGGATGTTCCTGGTTCTGGGAATGCTGTGCAGGGTTGCTGGAGCCAGGTCCAGCACAGAATGCCTTGTTAGTTTGGTTGCTGGGCTGCGTGCTGTGGCTGAATGGTTTCCAGACCAGAGCTAGTCCTTGGTGGAACATAGCTGTAGCCCTTCTGATGGAGCATCGAACAAAGAGGCATGGTCGAGTTTGCTTTCAGCATGGAGCAAGCTCTGCTCTGTGATATGCTTAATCTGTAGTGCAGTAACCTCCAGCTGGTAACTGACAGTCAACATACTGATTAAAATAATGATAATCATGAAAGTCTTATCTGCCACTTGTTTGGTTTCCTTCAGTTTTATCTGTTGTGGATTATCTTAAACTCTGAAAGCTGAGTAACGTATGTGTAGTTAAGAATCACAGTTCATGTGCCTCTAGTCACTGGTTTCATAATAAGTTACTTTTAAAAATGCATGAACTTAGTGGTTTTCTCAGCTTGCAAACCTACAGACTTGTTGGGCTGAACCTACTGTGTTTGAGGGATTTTCCCTCTCACCTCAGGGTGTGATCCCTCTTACTTGTGGAGTTCTGCCATCCAGCTTTTGCCACACAAATACCCTGCTGGTACACTCTCCCTGCTCTGTTTGAAAAGGCACTGAGCATGAGGTCCTGAAGTTTCCAACACTGCAATTCCTGCAGTGTTTGCCTGCAACTTTTGTCTCCCTCTCAGCTCTTCCCTCAGCAGTAGTTGTAGCACTTGGAGAACTATATATTGTTGGGTTGTGCAGCACAACTGATTGAAAAATTGTTGCTTTTCAAATAATTTGTTTGAAAAACTGTCATGGATGTATACAATAGCTGTAGGAATTTGCAATTGGTATTATACTTTGGGATACTTTGGAAGTATTAGTAATTTCTCAAAACTTTTTCTGGAAATCTCCAGATATTGAATGAATTTTGAGTTGAATATGTTCAGAAGACACTAGAAATGGGTTTCCATGTGCTGTATGAAAGCATTGGAGCCCTCTACAGAAGATTAATGTACCATTTCCTATCTTCCTGTGTACCAAAAGGTAGTTATAGATGGCTAAACATAAAAGTAGGTAAAATATACTGAAATACTTTGGTTGAACTAAAAGTCAGGCAAGTAGTGTGTGCCTGTGGCAAGCCATGCTATACACAAGGTACTCAAGGATAAAGCAGATAATATTTCATTGGGATGTGAGTAGCTCCATGCCTGTACTCTCAATTAGCAGAAGTAGGGTTATTTTTTTCCCCTCTTGGCAAGTTTCTGCTCTTTTCCCCTGAAATCTACTCTTAGAAAATGGATGTTTGATAAAACTTTTTACTGGGTCTGCAAAACCCCTGTGATTGGAAGAGGAGCTGCCAGGATGGAGAGGTGTGGAAATTTTGAGCCTGAAGTGGAATTATGTCAGGACTTAACAGCTGGTATTTTATGTATGTTCTTGCACCAAACAGTGTCTACAGACCACCCATCTCCAGACAGGGTGTTCTTACAGAAACTTGGGCATGGTTTTTGCCCCTATACCATGACCAGCATCACTCACTGGTTGGTTATACATTGAGGATGGTATTTTTCAGCTTTTTCTTGCTTTGTCGTACCCTTAATTTATTTTCTTTATTTCATCCTGATTTGTCTAGAATTTTTTCCTTTAACTGGTTAAAGGGCTGCAAGCCAGCATCTCTTCAGCAGTATTCTCTGGTGGCCACTCTCTAGCAGTGATTCTGGGATAGTTTGTGCAGATGCCATGACTGGAGGCACTCCAGTACCTGAGGGAGTAACTTCAAATCCTTTCTTTCTTCTTGCAGCTGCCTCCAGAGCCTCAGTGAAGGTGATGTTGCAAAGGCTGGGATCTCCTCCTGATACCCAACGTGATGTTTAGGAGAGTGCTGTGACACAGCAGGGCACAGCAGCCTCTTCAGGGTATGGTGTCACTGTGATTCACACCAGTCACTGCCCTGTCTTTTCCAGGTTGTCACCCATCAGTCCTATTACTGAACAAGCTAACTAAAAAAACAAAAACTTTGTATTTAGAAAAAGGATACAATATTGTCATGGGGACTCTTTCCATCTCTTAAATAGACTTTTTTTTGGGGTTAAGGGTGTGTCTAGCCTAATTTCAGAGGTGATGAAACAGTTCAGTTCTGCAGCAGGTGGGTCTCTCTTGAGTTAAGACTTGACCAGAACATTATTCTTGCATTCCAGGAACTTCCTGCTTTGTCTTGAAATGTTTTTCGGTTGTGTTTGAATAGTGACAGTGCTGTTTCCCTGAGAGTCACCAGTTGGAACATCACATAAAGTGTGTGGCAGCTTTAAACCTTGGGTGATGATTCCTATTTCTATACAGAATGAACTAGTATGTGTAATTCCATTTCTGGGATTTTATGAGTCAGTCTCATACTAGTGTCTTTTCTGTGACACTTTTTTTGTCTTGTTCTTTCTGAGAGAGCTTAAAGAAATTCTTCCTTAAATATTATGGACTTAAGATGATCAGGGTAGAAAAATGAATATTCAGGACCAGGTGATTATTAATTATTCAGAACAGAAAAGAATGTAGCAGCTGTTTTCAAAACCACATGGAGGTGTTTTGGGTAGAAAAACAGTGATACTGGGTTTCTGTACTTCAGATTTCCTCATGCTGCTCTTTTAGTAAAGGCATAGTTGTTATATGCCTGTTGGGGAAAATACTGTCGCAGAAAACAACACTGTTGGTTCAGGACTTTGAAATTTCACATGCAAGTCAGGTCCTGTTTGCAGGATATATCTGGTGCTTTGTTCCCTGCCTTTGTAACAGCTCCTGAAATTTCAGAAGCTGTTGCTTTGATTGATTATTCCTGTGTACTTTAAATCCTCATCTCCTGCCCATCCAGAACTTTTGGGGTATGGGATTGGGAGCTGGCCTTTCTAGAAGATGTGATTCAGAGTTAACAGGGACACTCTATTCTTTTTAGCTTGGCTGGTATTCTGAAAGACACAAAGACACATGAGATTTAATTCTTCTTATTCTTCCCCCCCCCCCCCTCTATCCAGTAGTTAGCTCACATGCCAAGTGTCCTGCTATGTTGATGTTTCTGGATATGAGCAAAAATTAATTCTTCTGGTTTAAAAAATAAAAGATGGTACAAAATACTCATTCTTGACTGACCTGAGGAAAACCAGAAAGTCCCCATGAGTCAATGGTATCACTGTGGGTGGCATTTTACAAGATAGCAAAAGTAGTTACAGTAATTCTGTGCATTATTAGTCTGTATGATAGCTGTCCAGCACCTAAAGCATTTAACTTTATGCTGAATGAAAAACAGCACCAAGTTGTCATCTCTTTCTAATGAATGAAATTATTTTTTTTTGTGGCTGCAGTTGTAAAAAACCCAAATATGACAGGTCTTTACTGAAAGTGTAGTTTTTACTGAGCTACTGGCAGACTCCAGTGTTATATCATGCAGCTTCTTTTTCCAGGGAGGGAATTAAAGAGTGGACTAGACGTAGATCAGAGATGACAGCCCTTTGGGTAAGGTCTTGATGCTGACAGATTTCAGAGCTAAAAGGCAGCAGAAGGTGCTGTGGGCTCTTCTTTCACAAGGGTTACCTGGTACATATGGCAAGCAAGAAGACGCAAATCCCCTGGGCTGTGGTTCAGCCCGAAGGTGTGTGTCAGCCTCTGGTTCTGCCCACACTTCAGTCTGTTCCTCATTCTTCCAGAGCCCCCTGGGGACAGGCCCGTGGTCACAGGTGACAGAGCTGCCAGGCCCCAAGAGCTGTGGAAGCGAGTTGTGCCCTGCTCCTCACCTGTCCCAGCTCTCAAATCAAACTGGTTGTAACTTAACAGAGTGTCAGGTTAAAAATGCTTTGATTGCCAGTGCAGGAGTTTGCATGATGTGACACCTCTCAGCTGCTGAAATTTCATTTCAGCTGAAATGAAAGTGCACAGTCTTATCAGTGGCCACAGGTCAACTTATTACAGATCTGTGAGTAAAGCAGTGACCAGGTCCTTCATCTGCCTGCATTCATCTTGTGCTTGAGATGTTCTGTAGTCATCAGGCACTCCAGGACATACAGCACTGGTTTTACTGGGATTTGTTTGTTACCCAGTTAGGGATTGATTCTTGTGGGAGTCCAGGGCATCCCTCTGGCTGCCCTGGCAGGTCTGGGACTGTGGCAGGGGTCAGGAACCCCCCTGGACAGAGCCCCCAGAGACACTGTCTGTGATCTCTGTCCATGGAAAAGAGTTTTCAGTCTTACAGGATGAATTACAAGCTCTGAGTGTTTGATATAAGTAATAATTAAGTGTGGCACGGGTGCAAAAGTAAAATTTTAGGATTCTAGATAAGGGATCCAAAGGGGACAAGATGGAGGAAATTGGATGTGTCTTGTCCTTTTTCTTCTTCATGCCCTCCATGTTTCACTGTGGTGTTGGCATTTTTCTGTTGGTTTAGGCTGGGGACACACAGATATTGGCACATTATTGCAAATATAGCACACGTAGTTTCTGGTAGATAATGTTTGCAACACCCCAGTGCCAAGGTCTGAAGAGAATATATTTATAGCAATGAAGATATCTTCATGATCTTGTTCATTTCCTCCTAAAGAAGCCACTTTCAGCAGTTTTGGTGAAGTCCTCACAGGTACCTGGTCTTTGCTTGACCTCCCAGATTCTTCCTTTTTGAGCTTGGTCAGAAGCTGTCTGTCCAGCCAAACTGTCCTCCCCCTGCATTTGCTCATTTTCTTGCCTCTTGGGCTGGACTGGGCTCTTGTGCTTGGGGAAGCTGTCCTTGATGATCAAACATTGCCTCTTCAGGCCCTCCATAGCACTGTACAGATCAGATCAGCCTTCTGAACAAACTGTAAGCTGTTTATTTGTTACTTGTCGAAATCTGTGGTATTGATGATTCTGAGATTGTAAAAAGTCTCTGTCTTTCAGCCCCGCTGCCAAAGAAGAAGCCATAATTAATCTGTGCTGGTTTCAGGGTTGTTTATTCTGTTTATCTCTAACATGTTCTGCTGCCCTGCCGCAGCTCTGTCCTGCAGGGCAGCGTGTGGGGCTCTGCCCTCAGTGGGATGGTACAAACATTAAATACCACAAACTACCTGTGCTGGATTTACAATAACGTGCCAATATCTGTCACCTACGTTGGACAGTGTGTCCCCAGCCTGAACCAACAGAAAAATGCCAACACCACAGTGAAACATGGAGGGCATGAAGAAGGAGAAAAAGGACAAGGCACACCCAATTTCCTCCATCTTGTCCCCTTTGGACCCCTAATCTAGAATCCAAAAACTTTACTTTAGCACCCATGACACACTTAATTATTACTTACATCAAACACTCAGAGCTTGTAATTCATCCTGTGAGATTGAAAACTCTTTTCCATGGCCAGAGATCACAGCCAGTGTCTCTGGGGGCTCTGTCCAGGGGGGTTCCTGACCCCTGCCAGGGTCCCAGACCTGCCAGGGCAGCCAGAAGGAAGCCCTGGATTCCCACAGTTACTTGTCATCTTCACTTCTCCTGGGACCTTGAACTGAGTACAGTTGAGTACTGAAAGATTTTCTCTAATAGAAGTATAGGTGCATACATATCAAAAAGTCACACAGCTAGCCTCTAGTCTATGTGACTTTTTGATCCCTATGAGTAAAATCTTTTATTGAAAATGGAATTTAGAACTTCATAAAGTCAATAATTCCTTTCTGTTGTTAATGGGATGTAGATTTGCTGTCTGAGAGAAGGTTAAAATGTTCAGTCTTTTGTTCAGGAAATGTCCTAATCTATTAGGATATGTCTGAAGTGGCTTTTAGGAAATAAAGGCAGTGTGTCCTGGTTTTAGGAAGTTTGTTTTTAAAACCATGGAAGTCAAACAGCGGTTCTTTTCTGTCTGGGGTTGCAGCTCTAGAAGTTTGTGACCTGTTTAATTATTTCCAGAAACACAAAAATGTATATGGCCTGTGAGATTTCAGGTACCACACTCTGTGTGGTCTTCAGGGGAAAATCTGTTCGGTCTCACTGCAAGTTGTATCCCCAGGAACAGAAGAGGGAATAAATTCTTCTACTTGGCTGATATTTCTGTAAATCACTGTGCTTTGGTTTTGTCACTGAAAGGTAGCAGCAGTTCTGTGTTCTCCTGCCCTGTGAGTGATGCATGTTGGCTCTGTCTAGCAGGAGTTGCCACATGATTTCTGGGCTCAGTGGGAGTTGTTTTTCTTGAGGATGAAGTTGTTCTTTCCAAATCTTCCTTTTGTGAAAACAGTTCTTTTCCCCATTAAAATTTTCCCTGCTGTGTTTCAAAATCAAATTGAAAAAGCATTGCACAAGAACTGGGAAAACAAGCATGTGTCATCACTCAGGCAGAGTGAGCTGCAGCCACTCAGAACACTGATAGCCCTTCAAGGATCTAAAAATCAGGGGGAACTTCCTGTCAGTGGAACAGGCATTGCTTAGAAGAAAACTAGATTTGTATTTCCATGTTTGATTTCAGTTATTTTCTCACGGTGTTTATTTCTTATTTTATTTCTCACAGCACAATTCTTTTTCCATTTTAAGGTTATGAGATTTTAATCAAACCATGATTTTTGGTCCTACAGGACAGCATTTGCAGGCTTGTCATGACCATCCGTACCTTCATAAATGGGGCATACAAAATGCATTCCTTGTAACTTTTACAGTGTTTAATTCTGAAATTTCCTGGCTGATAAAGAAGGGCAGAAAGAGCATGGAGAGAGAACAGGGAATCATCCAGTAGCACTCACCCCAAAGATTTATTTGTCTGCTTTTCACAGTATTTTGCAGATACCTGTATGTGTTGTACCTAGGGGCATGTGGGTGTGTGTGGAGGATAGGAAAAGCCAATAGTGGAGTATTAGTGTTTGCTGTGAGCTCTGCTGCATTGTGCAGTGCACAGTAATGTCAATATGTTCTCTTCTGCTTTTGTTTT